AATAACCCAAACATTACAACCGAGGAAGTGGATGAACAGTTCCTTAAAGACACAAGGGGAACAGGATTCGTTGGAGATCTTGCCAGAGCAGCTATCAGAGCTAAGAGGGCGCTTGGACTGGACGACTACTTCAGAGGTGATATCGATGATGAACAGTACAGTGCTTTTGATAGTATTGATTCTTTACGTGGTGTACAAAACATGGAAGGTGGTGATTCGGGCGGACAGAATTCCTCAGAGGGAGAAGAGGGGAATGGATGTGCTGCAATAGTTATAAGTAGGCTGTTACCAGGACCGAGTTCAACTTCATCCAGAACCACTGCTTTCATGAAATACGACGGCATAACAACATCTTCGAGAACAGAACCGATAAACTCCATAGGGCTCCACCTGAGTCCACATTACATAGTACCATACTTCCTAAATACATGGGTCACTCTGCCAAAGTGGAAGGCTACAATAAGAAATGCCACCTTGTAAAGAATTACAAAACAGGGTTTAAAAATAATAGCAGGTGAATGGATGACGAAAAACAACGAGGAAGTATTCATCCCAAATCTGCTATCTTACTGTATGTAGACAAAGGTAATTACATAGAGTACGGTAACCTGAAAGGCATAACAGGTATACCGAACAAAAACTTTAGTGAAATACAACCGATGAAAGGGACAGACGCTGTGCTACCGAAATACAAATACTCATATGGTTGCCCCATACACCTACTAAACGTAATGAGGAAAACAAGCGCTCAGATAACAGCATTAAACCTGACAACAGAACTACCTATGACAGACTTGCACGACTGGAGAGAGATGGACGATGTAATAAAGCTGAGACAGGGAGACACATACACACACATTTGGAAAAATCCGAGCCTCCTAAGAAAACTGCTTATGAACATATATGTGCAAGATAACTATACCATCCAGGGACCAATGGTATGCATTCTGGACTTAATGATGTTGGAAATACAGGGCGGATTCCTGACAGCCTGGGATGGTGGATTAGATGTAGCGACAGGCCCGAAGTTCGGAACACTTGCAAAAGAAACAGAATCTAATTTCAAACACGGAGAGGAAAGAAAGAGGATTAGACCTAGCAATCAGGAGGACATAGCAATGACCGAAATAAGCAACCTTAATTATGACTACAAACAACAACGTGCTGGCAACACATACAGATAAAGATTTATTTGAATATGTATCGGGTTCCTTCTGCGTAGCAAACAGGACGGCAATAAACAAAATATTATACACATCAGAAGACGCACCAGAGATGGTACTGATACACGTGCCCCCAACTCTAAGGTCGAACAACCAATCAGGGACACTATACTTCACTTTCAAGCAGACGTACATGCTTGAGCTGGAATGCTTCTATGAAAGTCTGCAGCATCTGCAAAAGGTGTCTGTTACAAACAAGGCTTGCTCTGTAGCGGCAGTGGGGCTTTGATTTTCCTGAGAATGTCTTTTATGACTTCATCGTTTCTACGGGTGTATGCATCACAAGATGCTAAGTAGCCTTGAGGCATCCTAAGGTACATAAACCTCCCCCACTCTGTGATAAAAGTTGTCAGTGGTTGGGACTCCTCGTCTAATATAATAGAGGGGTAGCCATCGACAGCATCCAGCACGGTTTTCTTGGTATTGGGCGGCACCTGCATTGCCAGCTGGAAAAGTTGAGGCACTGTGGTGGGTTTCTCGCTTGCATTGCGAATTTAAATATTGATAATCGATGGTACGCCTTGGTTGACCATACTTTTTTGTCGTAATGACCATCGTGCTGCACCAATCTGTAGGGGTACCAATGGGCACTTGTTCTAATATGCCCCTTTCTATATCTTGCATAAGGGCTTGCCTCACTGGTTCTTTTAAGTGGTATGGCACTGGTATCGGTCTGTGTCTTGCCTTAGGGATTTCTCCCTCCTTCAGGTGGATATTTGCTGGTTTACCAGACATGGCTGGGAATTGCCCATCAGTATTGAACGCTGAATCAGCAAATTGTTTCAGTAACCATTTTTTGAGCTTCTCCACATTTTCTTTGTTCGCTGGGAAGGGGGTTTCTTCAGGGCAAACTGATAGCTGAAATTTTGTGGATTGCTTTTGCTCCACAGCTGCTGTGTGATCATTGGTAATCCAATTTAATTTGCTCTGAGCTGTCATAGTCATAGGCGTGGGGAAGTGAGGAGACTGTATACCTTCATCAATACAGGCGGCCTTGCTAAAATATATCTTATTGATGTTATTGCAGATATACAATGTTTGCTTTGTCGACATTTCTCCAACACTAAATTGAACAGGCAACCATCCCTGGCTTATAAGGGTTGAGCCACCTACTGCATGAATAACTTTCTATGATGGGATCAAATTACTTTCCTTGAGACCCATGCAATATAGATGTCGGGTCCTCCAAGGCAGATGGTGTCTCTTCAAACGAGTGCTTTGATTACCTGGAATATCTTCAGGATTTCTCCTTGGAGAAAATGGGACCAGTGTTGCTTCTATCTCCACAACATTATTTTTGTTAGATGACACATAGGAGCCTGTCTCCTGGTCAAACTCTACATGTGCAATCAAACTGTCCATGTTAGCTTCATCGTCTTGAAGGAGAGAGTCTTCACTAGAGCGACTTCTTGATCTGGATCGGCAAACATTTGTAAAATGACCTTGGATGCCACACAAGTCACAGATCTGATTCCATGCAGGACATGCCTGTTGGCGGGTGCTGGTTCCTGGGAAACTAGGAACCCCATGAATTCTCTGAAGGAATGGGGAAAGATAGAACTGAACCCGTTGATTTGGCTGACCATATAGAAAAAAAAAACATCGACACGTAACGTACATAAATAACAAAGTTAGCAAGATAGATATACACAACGCGACACAACGTGAAGAGCCCAGACCAGCTAGAATGTGTCTCTTTGAGGCATCTGACTTAGAATCCCCTCCAAAAAAAAATGGAGCATCGTAATGCGAGAAAACGCCTGGCCAAGGACCTACTGGCAGAATACATACCGCCCGATTCGCCGGGATGCAGGTTGGACTCTGACTACCCAAATAAGATGCACAGTTGCAAGATGGAAGATTGTTACTGGCTTTGGCTGGATTAATATGAGCTAAAAACAGCTACTCCTCCTCCCATAGACGATGACAAACTTCTGCTGCTACAATGATGATGCCATCACTGGTACCCTCTCCTCCACCACCTAGTCCTACTACTCCTCCTCCCCGACCTCAAAATCCTATTCTTCGCACTTTACTATGCACTCCTCCAAACAGCATCATGGACATTCTCACTACACCTTTGGCACCAAAAAAAAAAAAATTAACGATAAACGAATTCGAACTATTACAACATAGACAACACACTGGCAGAATCAACAAAAATTCATTGACTTACTGCAATGAAGACATAGAGTGCCAGCTTCTTGAATGGAAGCCCAACATCATCAGAAACTACAACCCTTCGCCTCGAATAGAATGTAGTTACCTCCCTTGATTTTTTAGAGACTACGCGCATCCGCACTCAAAATCTTTCTATTCACAGTAGCTGATTCCACGTAGACTCTTTCTCTTCTCTTCTCTTTATATATTGTATATATATTGAAATAAATATTATTTATTGAATTTACCAATGACTTTATTGATTTTCCAATAGTATATATATATATATATATATATATATATATATATATATATATATATATATATATCCAATAATGTATATATATACTACAATAAGCATGAAACCTGTCTGTCTATTGAAAAAGAATTTATCTTTTCAGCATCATCGGAACTACAGCTTTGACTTGAAAGAATTTAAGCATGGATGCGCTTAGCTATGAACTGCTACTTTCACTTCAAAGAATTTCTACAGAGACCTTGTGACGTCATCATCAAAAATTTATTTTATTTTTTATCAGCTGCCAGTTAAAGCCACTAGTATTCTATTTTATTCTAAAACTTACCCGCTATCAGCCATAACAGTACCCTTACTAGGGTACTGTTAATGTTACAGTCCCCCTAGTAAGGGTACTGTTAGTGTAAGTTTGTTAATTGGTAGCAGTCTGGACAAATGTCTGTTTCTGTAGTTTGAAGTAAGACCACGGTAGAGATAGTAGTAATCTCAGAAATTAGGCTGATGTCAATCTGCTGTTTTTCTTGGCCCTGAACAGAGTGGAAATATCAGTAGTAGATGACTTCTTACCTGCTTGTTCACGCCTCACTCATGGCTAGTTTCTACATGGTAGCATTCTTGTTCTGCCTCTTTTGCTGTCACGGTTATAGAGTTGTTGGTTTATATCCTTTTGAATAGGCTCAGAGTTTGTGTCAGGAACTTTGTCTTTAACATTAAAATGTCACTTTGTATCAATTTTTTTGATTGGCCAAATCTTATTTCCAGTATTTGTTTCTGTTTAATTTTTTTTTCTAATGGAAGTTATGTGTGGAGACTCCCTGATTTCTGCTATTTTTCAGTCACAAAGTTCTGCTCCAGCAAGCTTCTGGTGTTTCTGGCCAGGTCCAGGCTTTTCTTCCTCTTTTTATTTGAGGGTTGCCTTCTCGTAGGCTGAGAGACGTATAGAAAAAGAAGTCGAGTGGGAGAGAGAAAGCGATAAGGGTTTTAAAGGAAAGTACAAATGAATTCTTTTAAATTCTTTTTATTTTTGTTTATATATTTTATTTTTCAATTTTATTTTTATTGGGACTCACTGCAATCATATTAAAAGATTGAAGGATGATTAAACTTGTTTTTAACAGATCCTAAAATAATTGAAGGTGGAGAATTAAGACAAAAAATACAAATAAAAAGAAAAAATATTGCCTGCTTTGAAAATAACTTTTCTTAAGTTGGCTATTTTTAACTCAAATTCATTAGGTATTTTTAAATTTATATTCCCTAATACTAGTTAATCTGTGCAGAATACTATTGTGTATATTTACTAATCATGAGAAAATATTTAATGTACCTATTATTTAATTTCAGGAAGCAAAAATCTTAAGTGAAGAGATTGCCGGGCAAAGTCTTTCTCTTTTATGTAAAAGTGGAGATGGTTTGTCACATGCCTTTGTTCGATTAGATCTCAAGCAAAAGTGAGTAAATTTTTTTTAAATCACATACATTGGCTGAACATTTACACTTTTGGTAATTTTTCTATGTTCATAAATTAGCATAAATTAAAGTGCATTGTGGCATAAGAGATGCGATTATTGTTCAAGGAAAATATAGTATATTTATAATCCATTAGAGTCATTGGTGCACAACATAAACTGCCACAGTTGTCAAAGTACATGTGTCTACAGTAAGATAACCTTATGGAACTTCTTCCTGAGGTAAGTTTTACTGAGGTTTAAATTCAGAGTTTTTCTGCTTTTAGATTGGCTACCACCTAAAAAAAGAGAGCCCAGTATACCCTGCTATTTAAACTATAACAGGAATAAGGTAGAGTCAAGCCATTTCCAAGGGTTAGTAATGCATTGTGAATAAAGCAGACACAACCAGAAATCAAACTTGGTATGCCAATTCTTCATTCCACACTGATAACCATTATGCTACCAGTCCACCCACCAAAATATATCACAAAACCTAATTATGAACACCACATGGAAACAGCAGATATTTCCTATGATAAATTGTGGTTTTATTTGGATTCTTATATAGCAAGGATTTTCAGCAGTGTAAAGAAGAGCAAGCAAGTTAATTGATGGATTAGACAAGTATACATATCATGAGAGGTTAAATCTCTGCAACATTCTCTCACTGGAAGATAGAAGAGATTGTTGTGACCTGATTGAAACTTTCGTGGTCTTGAACAGTTTTACTGGTGTAGATTATAAAAAATTCTTCAAACTAAGAGACAATACTATTAGCACAAGGGGACATAGCAAAGCAATAATCAATTTCCTTGATAAGCATAATACACATTATGATTACTTTTCAAAGATAGTTGTAAATGGCTGGAACAAACTGTAGAAGACATGAGCACAAAGATATTTAAAGAATTCAAACATCTTTTGGAAAAGACAAAATACAAGGACATCAGGGGTGCTATGCATAGGTTGGAAGGATTCCTACCATTGTAACTTTTTATGGTCTATTTTTACAGTATATTTATAGTGGTAAAAGTGTTTCTTTTTTTTTAATCTTAAAGAGCAGCATTTTTTCTTGCTGTTGTTACATTCTTCTCAAAATCAAATCCACTTATGATTCATACTACACTAATTTTCACCATTAGCCTGATGTGAATACTCCAAATGTCCTTTTTTTGAAAAACTCTTCAATTTACTATTATTCATTTTTTTTTTCATTTGTTTAAACTTAAGAATGAGTTCAGTTCACTATGTAAAATCAATGTAAATTGATCCCCCACTTTACTACTATCAGTCTAATGAAAAAACAGGGTTACTTTCTGTCTTCTTTAAAGAATTACCTAGTTCCAAATGATTTCCAAATTGTTTCGCTGATCGGGGTCAATTTTATGTTGAAGTTACATAGCAAACTGACCCTCCGACATCTCCTCACCCATAAAATATGATTATCTAAACAAAATTTAACCAGTTTATTTAATATTTTTACAGCATTTTTTAAAAAAAAATAAACTGTAAAAATACTTGTTGGGTTGATCGGAAGATGCTGTCTCAAAGTCATTAGTCAAATGACCAAAATCAGGCATTTATGCATATGCTCTGAGTGGCTCTTCTGGCAGTGTTTTAAAATATTCAAAAATAAAATTTGTATTATTATTCGATCACTGACAGTGCTTCCCTCATATTTTTGGAGGGATTCATTTTGAGCCATCACCTGCTACCTGGAAGCTACAAATACCAAAATAAAAAAAGAGAAAGGGATTCCATGTTGTGAATTCAGACATAGATCACTCATCAACTGAATTGACATTTCCTGCTTTACTGACATAGATTATCCAACAACATTAAGTACCTACTTTTCCCTTCTTTTCAAGGGTTTTATTATATATTATCTGTTATTATATATAATCTGTTATTAGATATAATCTGTTATAGGGCATAAACTTGTATATTTTAGTGAAGCACAAATAAGGCATCTACAAATGAATCCTACTAAATTCAGTAGATACAAAAAAACTTTTAGAATTCTGTGCAAACATGGCTCCAAAATTAAATGAGTGGTTTCTGGAACCTGATTCGATTATAGCAAGTTGCATGATGTGCTCTCTTCGATGTCCATGCAGTTGAACTCCAAATGACCTGGAAATAGATTAGGGCTTGGGTCATGCAGTATGTTCCTGCACAAAACTCAGATAGGATTCGTGAGCTGGTCACCAACTTGCCATAAGCTATAAAAGCAGATCGTTAGCCACAGTTAGCAAGAGATCTGCAATGATTTTTCTACATACAACGTCACAATGAAAGTAAGTCTTGTATCTTCTCTTTGTTCCCTGTATTTTTAAAATTACTGCTATCATGTACATATGGCATACATATCATTCCAAACTTTGCAGGCTCACTTGCAACAAAGCACTTTGAACACTCAAACTTTTAGTCTCTTCATGGCCACAACAAAGAACATTGACTTTTAATATGTCAATACATGCATCTGAAGTATTGAGGAATAATGACGAGGAAACACATGTATTATATTTAACAAAACAAGATAAGGAATTCATTTACAAATTTACATATTTGAAAATGTCAGTAGCTTGTTTCAGGAAAAGGAATCAAATATTTAAAGTTCATATTTTCAATGAATTGTCAAAAAGAGATGTTCATATTAAATCATCGGACACAAAGTAATATTCCAAAATGTTTAAAACAAATTGAGAGAGTTTGTTTTTTACATAAAAGTTGTATTCAACATGAATGACAAGATATATTTTAAGTTATTTAGCTTTGGAATTGAATAGAGTTCTTTGAAATTGTGCTGCTCTTGTTAGAGGCTGATAATGTATCAGCATGTAATTTGACACTGGTGTTATTCAGATGCATGGAACTCTGGCTTTTCTGCCTTCTGCTTCTTTCTGTTTTTTCTCTCTCTCTCTGCTTTGATTCAACTTTCTCTGCCTATTTATATCAAAAAGCGATTTCACATCGGCCTGTTACATTTTTCTCAGTTTGTAAGCCACTCCCTTTTCCATTGGTCAAAATAAATTTTTGTATAAGCTTGCGGATTTGAAAACAGTGGAGAAAAGAGTGTTATTTTTATTTCGTATTCACCGTATATCTACTGTATAAATGTTAATTTCATATTTAGCTTGGTCTTCTTCCTTTTTTGCAGAGATCATTCCCTCATGTTGTTTATTATTTTGTTTTGTATTTTTGGATATGACACTCAAATATTATTTTTCCACCTAAAATCCGGGTAGACTGACCCCACAATGTGTGTAAGTGAACTTTTCCTTTCTACTCAAGGGAAACACACATCAATATGTGTAAGTTTATCCAAAAGTAAAAATTCCAGCAATGAACTGTCACATATTACCTGAAGATGGATGATCTATACACACTGTAGTGTTCAGGCCAAGGTTAAGGATTGCCTTGGATACATGTAATTTTCCTTAACTGAGCACACAGACTTTTGTCACAAAATTCTGGGAAATTATCTGACACTGTTTTCAGTACCCTATTTCTAGGAAATATTACCTGTAACATTTTCCTTATTGAACTAGTTTTCCTATCATGAATTTGTGTATATGATTTTCAACACCATGTGTATATCCAGGCCACCATACTTCTAATTTCAAATGCTTCTGTGTAGCTGTCAATGTAATTCCACAATACACCTTGTCATGTACACTTTTTATTACATCTTTTCTACATTTTTCAGGTGGTACTACTAAATCTTCATTACATACAACACCATTCTCTACAGTTAACTTATGTCTAATTTCTTTGTATCACCTTTCAGCTTTTGAACAATTATTCCATTTATTAGTTTTTATTCTAGATAAAATTTTACTTAACTTTGGATACTGTAGTGTTTCTGAGGTAAGTCAATTTATAGGTAGAACGCCAGTGCAAAAACTCATCTTCCATACTTTCTATGCTGTCGCCTTTTAAAATGTAATCTGGATAATGTAGAAAATGAATTGCCTCCAGTGCAAACACAGATGTAACATTGCTAGGTTTTGATCTGCTTCTGGGGATTGATGCAATCTGGGAGTTTGGAGAAATTTGTTATAACTAAATCTGGAGAAGTGCACTTACCTAAGGGAGATATACCTCAGTGTGCCACCATTTCCATTGACGAACATGATTATAGTGTGCAATTTGACCATCAGAAGAAGATTTGAACTGCCTCATGGAAATGAACCAGTGGTCAAACACCCAAAAGGATGAAAAACAGTGTGCCAGAATACATTGTGCCTGATGCTGTCTGGGATGAGTATGAAAAAGAACTGCAGCTGTGGCTAGACAATGAATGGTTGCTGCCATATCCCGAGAGTGTGTTTGGTCCACACAGGGGCCTGATTCCATTGGTGGTGGTGATTCAGGAGAACAAACAGAAAGTTTGGCCAGTGCTTGATTACAGGGAATTGCACAATTTTATGGAAGTGTTCATTGCTGATGCAGATGTGTGTGCCCAGAAGTTGACGGAATGGCCTTTCAAACTGTGCAGATCAATTGGCTTAAATGTAGCACTTCTCATTATGAAAGCTATTGTTGACTTGGTCAAGTCCCAGAATGTGTCAATCAAAGATGCCATATCAGGTTACATAGATGACATCTTTGTCAACGAAACCTTAGTTTCTACAACATGGGTGAGGGAACATCTATCCAATTATGGACTCAATTGCAAAGACCAAGAGAGACTGGAAGATGGAGCCAAAGTTTTGGGCCTGCAAGTCTGGGAAGAGAATGGTACTCTCCGATGGAAGTGAAGAAGTAAATTCCCCAACTTTCCCGAAGTCATTACTTGCTGAAGCATGTTTTTTCTGTGTGGACAACTTGTGGGACATTTTCCTGTGTGTAGCTGGATAAGAATAGCAACCACCTATATCAAGTGACAACAAGTGTGGTGTCTAAGGAATGGGACAATACAATCACAGATACCTTCATCCGTTGCATGATGTATATACACAAGCTATGAGGGGCTTCCAGATTCTGTGCATTTGAAA